ACGACTACTACTACTGCTACTAATACTACAAAACAACAGACAATAATAGCCAACAACATCATTGCTTTTATAACAATAACATAACAGTAGTTTATAATGGCGAAAGCAAAAACCAAATCAACACATATACAAAAACAACTAACATTCGAAACCCACGGACTTTATGGCCATGCACTTAAAAATGATGCTGGTGGTGATGGCCGCGGTTGTCTACAGGGGTGACGATGGCACTGATGGAAGCGATGTTGCTGATGGATCATCACACGGACACATCGTGTCACAATTCTACCCCGATCGACCTTCCTATCAGACCAGAGTTGTGATGCTGGACGTGCATGCTACAAGTTGTCCTCGCCGCAGCTGGTAAAAAAGCAAATACAGCCAGGCCACCTGAGTCCAGAATCAAGCCAGTGGTCCGGCCAAGCCGAATGAGTCTCTTCAGCATCTTATAGTTTTTCCTTCCATCCTGCCAGATGTTTGGGAGCGAGCCAAACGCACGCAGCGAAACAGGTGCCGAAGCGCAAAAAGGCTGTCCTGTTGTGCTTTTCTTGCGAAATCCTGCAAGATCTCATTACTTGCATCCTCAGTAAACGAGATGTAGGTGCAGGCGGGGCGAATGTGACTCTGCAGCTGCTGCAACAGATGTTGCAGCTCCAAGCCAGGAAGCACAGACTGCCAGGCTCAACTCCAAGAGATTCAATACAAAGTCCTCTTCCGGTAGAATGTCAGTCCTTTGTTGCACGCAGTTGTTGGCAAGGAAAGGCCGGCTAGTCACCTAGTCATCAGCAATGGCAGAATGCAAACGAGCGGTACGCAGGCTGGGCACTCGTTCGCGCTCTTGCTCGTGTTTGACGAAGGTGTTCCAAAAATCGCTTTTTTGAAGCCTCAGATCACTTGACAACGGCCATGCAAGCTCGAGTGTGCGGACGGAATACGAGGACCGCTGTCTTTGCAGCTGAGCTTCTTCGTCTCCAACTTCCAAAGAAGCCATCATATGCTTCACTTTCTGTTTCGCTGGCGGACTTGCTCGTCGCTCCTGAAAGCACCAACACCAGACATGACGAGCCAAGATGACCCAAGGATATGGAAAAACAACATTGGGTCCACAACGGAGCCTGCCTGCGGAATCCACTGATTCGATTCCGGTCGCGCGTGACACGCCACTTGCGCGGGATGTGCAACGCACAAATTGTTGCTTGCGGTCCTGCAACGACAGGCTGGAAATGGACTGGAGGGGTGCCGAAGAAGTCCATGCAGAGAATGCAGCTCTGCATCAAAGCATTGTCCGCATCGGTGACCACGACTTGCATAGACTGCTTGCAAGCCCCCTCCTGCGTTCTCAGTTTACTTCGTTTCACTTTCACGACCCATCAGTCTCAGGTGGTGGTTCTAAAAATTTCAACGCCTTGAGCAGTTCCTGCGGAAAAGAACCTCAACACTTTACCCACGCCAATCTATCACTTCAGATCGAGATTCCTAGTTTGCTGGTTCTGGACATCGTAAATAAGCCACCCACCGAATTCACTCCAACTCTGGAACAGTCATGGAACAGCTCGCGCCGTTGAACACCACGATGCCTAAAGAGATCTGCGTACATGTCGGTGGGTTTTCTAGTTTTCGAATCTCTCGACCATCAGCGTAGCGGAGGTTTGGCATAGTGAGGTAATTTAACCATACTGCCGTTTCCGGGCCGGCACATCGGTGGGTCAAGGACATTTTGTAAGTGATGTGCTCGCAAACGTCGAGGCAACCCGCTGTCTTTGCTTAGTGCTCACAGCTGTCTGCAACCCCAATTGCAAAAGCAGCTAGCTGGTGGACATGCACCGGCCCGAAAATGCCAGCACACCCTACACAACCGTAGATGGCCGCCCCAAAAGATCGCAACAAGCAGCTGCGTGGTGTGTGCAACTTGTCAAAAAGCGCAATATTTAGCTAGGCAGATGCATGCGTACTAAGGCAATATTTTTGTGGTCACCCTGCGCGAAAGTCGCCCGGCTGCCAATTGCCCTTGGAACTGCTGCTAGAAACTAGTGCCGATCTTGCAGGGTCGAGAAAACAGTGCATGCACTGCGCAAGAGCAATCTAAGAGCAATCTAAACATGCTGGACGTCTCGCCTGCCCTGCGCCGGATGGCCAACCGGCTCGGCATGGCCATCGTCAAGCGTTTGCGGGCTCACGCCTCAAGCCTCAAGGAGGCTTTCCACTGGACGCCCTGGCGAAGCTGGTGGCTTTCAACGACGACCGGGTGTTTGACCCGACGATCTCCGCCAACCGCTGTGCCCGGCGCATGCGGCCTTTTGCCACCTTTTGCCCGGCTCGGCAAAGCCAAGATCCTGTCGACGCCCCGGCCATAGCCGACGTAAGGGCAGGGACACTCTGCTCTAACAGGACCAGGGCACAGCAGGCGGGCCAGGACACCTGCTGCGGCGTCCGACTCTAGCGATACGCGGAAGTCCACGTCGTGCTCATTTCGAACAGTCGGGCCGCGAAGCGAAAAGGGGGGATCCGCACTGACCTTGCCAACCCGGAGTGGAGATGGCGCCCTCCACGCCTGTGCAGCGGCTCCGGCAGCTCTATACCTCCGGTTGAGGCTCGCCCAGGCGCAGGAGGCGACGACCGACTCAGTCCGACTCAGAGTCTCGTTTTTTGGAGTTCTCTCCCAACCCGCCGGCGGGAACCTCAACCTCGATGATGCCGTAGGGAACAACCGGTTCTGAAACCCAGAAACCCACGTTCTATGCGCTCATTATTTGTCTAGGAGGCAGTCCCGATAGAGTAGCTAGGTCTTAGCTTCTTTTGCCTCACGCACACATAATGCACAAAGTCAGCGCCAGGAACGACTTCAAAATACCAGACCAGCCGCAGCGGTCAGGTCGTTTTGTTGACCATCGCAAGTTGTTCACGTCAAAACGAAAACAACCCCAAAACTCCCTACCAATCACGTATTCAAAGCGATCCCTGTGGGGGATCCCTGCTCCCGTCCTGCAGCTCGCGCTCCTGCCTGGATGGACTTTGAAGCTGTTCCTGGGGAGACCTGTTTGCTTCACAGCTTGTAAGGCTTTTGCATAGCATGTCTCGGTCCCACTTATGTCGATTGACGACATTCGGTTTGAGGCACAGGCTGCGTGCAAACGTCTCCGTCATCGCAGGGCCAGTTTAATTCCTTGCAAGGGCTGTGGGCATGTTGCTTGTGCAATCCCTGCTTTGGGCACGCCAGGCTGACTAGCTGACTAGCTGCCAAACTCCAGGCCAAGCTTCGATTAGGTCTGCACTGGTGGACTTGTGAGGCTTGCTAACCAAACCTTCGTCGCAAACATCCCACGTGTCACTGTCTGGTGACTCCATAGACGTCAGCGGCTGCAAGCCTCAGCATCTTTACATCATGCTCACCTCTCCTTGCAATTGCTCTCTCTCCCTCTCTTCCAGCTTCGGCTCTGAGTCGCCATTCAGCATGTGGCAGCCTATACGGAAGCTTCGACATGTAAGCCATGTAAGCCCAGGCACAGTACATACCGGACCCACAGCCAAGGAGGCACGAACAGCGCCCTCATGTGCGAACAGCTTGACTGCCACGGCCAAGTCAAGCGAAAGTTGCCCGTAAACGAAGCAACCGAATGGTATTCAAATTGTTTCCTAGATCCAACCAATTCTTCGTATGAACGAAAGGCAGGGGCCTGGGGCAAATGTCAGGTGGTGGCTGCGGGTACTCTATGATATGTTGCATTCGCTTACTACACTGCCACGAGGCAGCCTCATGCGGCCAGAGCCGAAAGGCAAAAAGTTCATTCACAGGTCTTGGAATTGGGGGGCACGATCCTGTTTGGCATGGTCACACATACGGCACGTGAGCAGCGGCACCTCGCAAGTTCAGTACCTTGTACATGGACTTGCCGGACCTGGTCGAAGGATTGGGCACGGCAAGTCCGTGGATCACCGCAATAGGGACTCTATCTCGAGCAGCCCACTGTCGAAACAGCAGGTTGCTCAGGGGTCAGAAAGAGAAGGAGCGCCTATCTCAGGTTGTAGTGATACTCAGGTTGTAGTGATACTGGTAGCTTTGTTCGGGCCGAGGCTCTCCTGCAGGAAGGCTTAATTTAATTTGCGCCAAGCTGTTAAAAAGGGCTGCTTTGCAAGCAGCCACACCTCATGCAAGCTTGAGCAGAAGCACACAAGAACTGTCTCACCTATGGGCTACACCTTCGTGCTTGAGCCAGCTGTCAGGCTTCAAACTGATGATCGACTGAGTTGGGGCTGGGGTCCACACACCATCACTTCCGACGTGAACCGCTCGCGGAATGTCTGGTCCTAAGGTAGCAGTTCTGCGCCCTAAAGGTGGGGTCGGCTTCCGATCGCTTCTTTTAGGCCCATGTTTGGCTTTCAACGGAATCTTGGTGATTGTGTTACTCTGGCTCCACACTGTACAGAGTCATCGTTTAGAATATGGACGGTGAGGTGCGGGGCGCAGCGGCAGGGCCTTTCATTGCGTGGCATCCTCCCTGGGCGATCAAAACTGCAGCTTGATGCTTGTGGCTCCCGCATCGCAGGCCCAAGAAGCCTTGAGTTCCATTTTGCCTCCCGCCTTGCGAGGAAGAACTGCTACGACCAGGCGTGCGTTTGGCTTACGGAGTTTAGGTCGAAGGTGATGTCACACAGTTAGTTCCGAGTTCTGCCATAGTTCGCCGGGCATCGTCTCACTCTGTCACCTACACCTCCAAGTCAAAGCACGTGCCCCGAGATCCGAACAGTCGAGACCACCTCCAAAGACGGAAGCTCCACGGCGGAGGCGAAGCGATGCTGCCTGCAGCGGTCTGCGGTCATGCTGCCACGAGCTAAAGCTGCGGGCAAAAAAACACCATGTTTCTCTGGGACAGAAGGCGTTCGCTGGTCTGAGTCTTGTCATTGGAGAAATGACAGGTACTTGCCGTCCCTAGCAGAGCTGGGAGCCGCGTCGCTCGCGGGCTGTAAAGCGCTGCGCCCGTCCGAGACGAGGCGGCATAACAGTCGTAGCACTTCCCATCCACACCGAATAGCCTGTTAAGCTGGACCACGTGCATGTAACCCGAGGGACACCCCTGCCACCATCATCTCAGCTGATGCACTTTGCATCCAAAAAATTAAAGCTTAAAGCGCCGATCCTCGTCGGAAACAAACTGCCATTCCTGTGTGCAGTGTACAACTTGCTTACTCTTCGAGTTTGCATCATGTCACGTTCCAGCACCGTCACCGGGAGTCCTTTCCCTTGCATGTTCACTTCATGCCGTCGTAGAGAACACGAACGCCATTGTCCTGTTTGCACTGCAAGCAACACGCTTGTATGCTCCACGGCTGCAGGGCAGCCCTTATTGAAAGGCTCCTGATACTGCGCACCAGGCATTTGGATGACGTTGCCATCATCGTCGATGTACTTCGATTTTTCCTTTCGCAGATCCGAGGGTCTCTAATGACTTGGCGACACATGGACCTATATACATACTACAGAGTCTCCAGTGTTCCAGCCATTAGTGACAAACTGCAAGTTGGCATACAAACGGTTACAATCAGAGAACCAAGGAATCCAAATACTCACGCTGGCGAACATAGCACAACATACGACTGAAACACTGAAGGGTGCGGCACTGACGCGTCAACCGAGAGGCTCCCAGGATGAAGCGTCCAAAGAACTTTGTCAAGATCTTGTCGACCGTGAGGAACTCAACCTGGCACAAAACAACGGGAGTGGATTCTGCATAATAAGAAATCAATCGGATCATGACAAACCGGGCAGGTTGTGCTTTCTACTTGTGTCCCCATCCCCCCGCCCCCTTCCTTTGGCGACTCTAGCCCCTTTACGTTTACTTCTGGACTTCCCAAGCTGCCATTCGTTGTTGTCAAATCCATCCCTGTAATTTCTGTTGTTCCCGACTGGTTCCCGAAACTTGGCACCGTGCGACTATTCGAGTTAGAGAGGAGAGCGAGGAGATCGAAAGTGAGTTGAAATGTTCAACGAGGGCCGCAAGTAGTGCAGCGTGCCAGCAACTGTTAGAAAGGTTTCAGGGCCGATGTAGCACGCGTGCTTTTGTGAGTGCCGATAGCAACTTGCCCCGTTGTTCCTGACCCATCGTGTTTTGCGCAGCCACTTGGCACCTGGCGCTTCCCACCAGCTCTCGTTATGTGCCACAGCAAGGCCTATCTCATATGCATGGACTGCTTTTTCATCGCCAGGTAGCAGACTTGCCGTTGCCGCTGACACTGAGGATTTTGGGCACCAAATCCTTGGCCACCTGCTGAATTTCAATGTTTGCGGCGCTCATCTCGGCACCAAACATAGAAACCTGCCTCCTCTGGCTGCGCTGCCAGGACCCCGAAGGGGAACTTCCGCAACTCAGGCGTCGAGTCGTTCAGTAGCAGGTCGGTGAAGACCTCCAAGCCCCGCTTCTGAACACGTCTCTGGCCGGTGCAGCATTTCCATTTGCAAGCTCTCTGAGGCCGGGACCATTCCAGGCGACAGGCAGTGGCAGTTAACCTTTCCAGGCGTCTCCACCTTCTCATACCTGGTGCATGCCCGGAGTGGAAAAAGAAGAGGCTTGGCAGTCATTCGTGGCGACCCCGCAGCATGTCTGCAACCAAGGTTCCCTTGCACGCCTTCCTGCAGGTCAGCAAACATGCAACGACAGCCAGCTACAAGTAGTTCATTGCCATTCTGCAGGCAGACTAAATCGGACTGTCAAGCAGCCTCGATCTCCTTCACCAGGGATTCCGTCATTTGGGGAAGGCCACGCTTCGTAGCACCATAGGTCACATATCCCGGTGTGCCGCCACCTTTGACCTAAACTTCTCTTAGAGGCGCTTTCGCTGGAGCCCACAAAGATGAAACCTTCTGAGATAGTTGCACCACTGCCGACGGTGTTGAAGATGTGGCTCTCGACACCTTTCCTTGAAGCTACCCCGCGTAGCTTTGCAACGAGTCGGAGGAAGACACGAAACAACCGAAAGCGTGAAATCATTCAAGGCGCTGCTGTTCCATCATTCTCATGGCAGCATGCGTGCAAAGGACAATGCCACCTCACATGGCCCATGTGTCAGACAGCAACATGGGCATGTTGAGATAATGGCGGAAGGGACAGACCAGGCAGGAACGGCATTGAGCCCGTGCTTGCAAGCCAAGATGCCCAAGTTTACCCCTCGGCTTGCGGCGTGGCTCGCTGCAAACTCAGACTACAATCTGTGATGCTCCGAGGCTAGCACGGACCACGGTGTCCACCATCTCGGGGCTGATCTCGGTGAAGCGTCGTCTTCCACCGTTGATGCCGGCGTTGTTAATCCTTGCATGCTGTTGAACAGGTCGGCAAGACTTAACCATCAACTGAACAAACAAAATGCAGGAACAAATGCCTCGGATATGCGGGCGATTTGCCAGTAGTGCACAACGCCAATGCTTTTCTTCACGAACTCGATGAGAGTGTTGATGCTCTCGATGCTGGACACGTCGCAAGTTGTGGCGTATATGCCTCGGGTCTCCACATCATGCAGCCGCGAATTTCACCCATCCGACCGCACCAGACTTGGTCACCTGCAAAACTATTACCATTACAGCAAGCTGCTGGCTTTCTCACCATGCTTCGCCTTGAGAGATTCGACAGCCGATGAGCAGTCCTGACAAGCGTTGGAGAAATATTGACATGAAACCGTGATGGAAGACCATCCACGAAGTTCCATAGCCTCGCCTTCACGTCGCAAATGACCACCTGCGATCTGTGAGAGGTGCCAAGCTGCCGAAACGCTGAGCAAATAGTGGCAAATAGCGCAAACAGGACTGACAGTTTAGTTCAGTGAAGCACCCTCAATAAGTCCTTGGCCTGATGCCCACGAGCCAAGAGCTCATCTGCATACGCGTAGCCCACGCCAGCAGCTCCGCCAGTGATGACCACGCCGGCACACACCGGGGTTCCATGCATTGCCACAGCTGCTACCTCGAATCGAATAGTAAGGCAAGCAAGGCAGATGTCGTATCCACTGCTGAGGACGCCACGCGCTGGTTGCGGTTGCGCAAGGCCGCAGTTCTCTTCGAGCGTCGTGCTGAGGCGACTGAGGCCACAGCAGCTGCACCTGCTTCGAACATCGAGATTGCACCGACAAGGCGGGATGCAGTCGCCTGTTACTTCTATCTTTCGAAGGCGTGGCAAGAAGCCTAATGGGCCGAATCATCCTGCGACCCTCGACTTGTTTTGTCTGCGAGTCGCGGCATGCATCCAGTCAGGCATTCGAAAGTGTTCTTGTCAAGGTTCAAGCGCCGCGGCCACCAAGCCCAAACAACAGTATCGTCTCGTATTTCTTGAGCTGTGTGTCTTCCCATTGCCCTTCACCCGCAAGCCTATGATCAGCCTATGATGCATGCATCATGTTTGTCGAAGACCTCGCGCTCGATTTGAACGCGTGTCTTGAACTTGGCGGAGCGGCGATTGGGTGAAAGCAGCGAAGCGCACGGTACCTTTCGCCTGCAATGCTGCTAAGTTTTATTGTTACTCCCGAGCTCCAGCCAAAAGACGATGATGAAATACCCCAAATGATGACAGGACAACCGGCTCCGCTCCTTCAGAAGCTGCGGATCCAAGGCTTCTGCCTGCTACGTATAGTAATAGGGTACAGCTGCAGTCCCTGCTGCACGGCTCAGGCTCAAATGCTCTGGACACCCAAGGACTTGTAGATGAGGAAAGTCTCCTGCTCGTGCGGCGAGCTGCAGTCTCAAATCTAAGATGCCGCGACATTGCATTGCCTGGTGTTTGGGCAAATCGAAGAATGCAATGTGCATAGCCTCCGTCACGGACACGATACGCGCAAGCAAAAGCAGACTTACATGTTCCACCCAATGTGGCCTCATGGGTGACAGAAGATGCGAAGGAGCGGCCCACTATGACCTGCAAATCGCATGCTCAAGCTTCAACGGACCAATGCTGGTAATTTATTCACAATGCCACAACACATCTTTCCCCAATCAGGTCATATGCCAGACGAAGATCGTGGCCTGCCACGGCCCCTTGCCGATTAGTTCATTGAAATCGACGTCGGTATCCAAAGCCTTGCAACACACGGCTACAGGCTACAGGCCAGCTGCAAGCGGTCCGCGAGAGATTCCGTGAATTGTGTTCGAGCCCAGTTTTCAAGTCCTGAAACATTACACCGCCAGCCTGCTTGATGTGCTGAGCTATATCCTTCTGCAGCTTGTGTTTCTGCACCTGTGCACGTACATGCTGATACTACAATAGCATCGTGACAGTTTTTCGGTAACTTATTCACGACCAATGTCGGGGCTTGCACTGCTTCACCAGCAAGAACCAGGATCTTCTCAAAGAGGTCTGGGCGAAGTTCGTTGTGCCTCGGCTTCTGTTGTAACATATACCGCACAACCTCGAATGTGCAACAAGCGTGCAATGACGCACGCCATAGCGAGACGGCTTATGCTGCTGCCAGCGGCTCGACCGTGTGTACAACAGATCCTTTGGTCGCAGCTCTGCTGAAAGTAAGTCCCGGGCCGCTCATGAAATTCTGGAAGAACAACCCTCACATGGAGCGACATGACGAGACTCGGACAAGAAATCGCGATGAAATCATCGTCAAGCCGAGGAACTTGTTTGCGTTCTGGGTTGCCCCCTCCTCTTCGTCGTCAGACATGCTGTCCTGAGAACATGCAGGTTCCGCATCGATTGCCCATTCAGTGTTCATGTCAGCAACACCTACATAAGGGCACTGCGGTGGTTCAAACTCTCTTGAGGAGGCGTGTAGCAGTGTAGCAAAAGCTTTGAGCCAAGCAGTCTGCAATGCAGCGGGCTCACAACAACCACCGCCTGCACGAAAAGTTAGTGACAACGTCCTTGCTGCTTAATTACACGCCCAGTTAGCAACAAAATTGGCACGGTGTCAGCATGTGCTGTTCTTATCTGTCGCCTGTGACAAATGCACTGGCAGCTGCTGCTGCTTGGCTGGTGTGCAAAGGCGCCGCAGCGCGCGCACCACGGGAGGCTGCCTGATGCCAGAGGGCAAAGAGAAGGCTTCTTCAAAAATCACTCCGCCTCTACCATTGGGGGACATGCCTCCACAGGTCGGGTCACGGGGCGAGACGCCGCGGGGGGAGCGATGGCAAAAGCGTCCATGGTTATGAGTCTGCTCCTGGGCGTCATGAAGCATGCCAGTGCACAATGGTTGCAACCCTCAGCTGCACGTGACGGTAGGGATAATGTGGAAAACTGATGAGGCGCCTGCAAGGCTCCGATGCGCGATTCAAAACACAAAACTGCAGCACAGGGACAGGTTTCAGCCACAATGCCTGCGGACGATTCCACAGAAAGCCCATGTTCAAGTGACCACAATACAGCTGCGGCCAGTGCGCACAAGCCGCACTAGCACAACGCCTAAGCAGACCTGGCAACGGCTTCGCGTTGGGGGAATCGAGCCTGCTAGCAAAGGTGACCCGTAAGTCGGACACATCCTCAGCTCCAACCCCAGGCACAATCAGGCACACACAGATCAAGAGCTGGATGTGACTAGGCAGGATAGTTGACAAGTGAATGGTTTCATACGATGTATTTCCCGGCTTTGTGCCATGAGGCTATAGACTGGGATCCTTGACCATTTCGGCAGGTAGCCTGCCTTGCCTATAATTAGGCATCTGAGGCATCCAGGCAGTCTAGAATCTAGGCTTTAGATGGGTTATGTCACCATCGTTGTGACGCGGTGGACCTTGACGGGGGCAAAGACGGCGGAGGAGTGAGCCGCTCTGAGTGCGTAGGCTGTACCAAAACTCCGATTCACTTCGATCGCCAGGCTGCCACGCACTGGGAATCAGCTTGCAGCAGGGGACATTCATCTAAAGTAAGAAGCATCATGGGCACTCAGCGCAGGACCACATGAATGTTGTTGATGATCTTCTGCAGGAGCCTCCATTCACCAGAAGGATCAAGAAGACATGCCAAGTGACCCCACTGCGCACGTGCATTCCCTCAGGACTTGTGCCTCACAAGGTAGCCTTGTGAACCTCGACCATCGGGCTCAGACTGCTGCCTGGCAGCTGGGCCGAAGCCCTTCAGATTTTCATGACTCGGGCTGCCAGGCAACATAAGGCAACAGGCGCACTGCGTCTTTTGTCACCGGACGCTTACTAGTCCGGGCTCCATATCCCGAGTCTGGGCAGGAGGTCCCATCTGCTCCGCGTCGACATCCAAAGAAATGCCCTCAGCAGTCGCAGAGAATTGAGGACACGACTCTCTACTTCCCAGCGATTTAAATCCTCCAACGCGTGCCCTAGAAAGCGAGGAACATACACAAGGTTATGTGGGCTGGATTCCGGCACTCACGCACTCATGCCTGTATGCCTTAAGAAGCACATGAGCGTCGCCTATCACATCATTGTCACATCATCAACCATCTTTCACCCCCGCTCGCCGTTCCTGCACGAGTGGACGCCAGGTGTTCTGAAGGATTGCTTGGCTCGCCACTTCGAAATACAGACTCTAATACATCCCCGCTTCAAAACGACAGTTAGGTTTCCCCATCCTGTTCGGCAGTTCAGCACACAGCCTCCTCACCATGTTCCCTACCTTTGTCTGTGTGAGTGTGGGAGGGCGAGAGTGGTAAAACTGGATGCACGTGTACAGACAATCGCCGTGTCATGCCGTGTCTAGTGTGTGTATTGGTCTCCGAGTCACTATCTCTGGTGAGCTGCCAGTCTCCTAGCGAGGACGATGTTTCCAGCAACTGCACAGGGTCTTACCAGCACTATCACTCTGACCGCGACGAAGCCTCCACATGCTCCTCCTTTGGAGGATCTGGCGGACCTCAGCTGCACAGAAGTGCAGTAGGCTGAACCTTCGCCACAAGTCCAAAATGAAAAGGGCGCAAGGGTGCTGAACGGGCAAAAAGACCTTGATTGCCATGCGAGCTTCTTGGCTTCTGTGTCTCCGTGTTGCTGTTGTCTGGCTCAACACTCGCATCTGCTGAGTGAACGCCTAAGCTGCGCACACCCTCGTGTCCAAGCTCGTGAAGCAAACGAAACATTCAGCAGATTCTTCAGATAGAAATGACTTGACCAATGTGCACAAAAACAAATCTTCACTTGCGTTTTCGGCACTCGCTTCTGGAGCTGGTCTTGTTGTCAGCACATGCTGTGCCAATGTCTCGGCCACTAGCCCGAAGCTTGGACCTCAGTTGGAGCCACGCTCACCACTATCGTGTTGCAGATTGGTTTCAGACATGTTCAGACAGACCAAGGCACTCAGGCTTTGCGTCTCCAGCACACTGCTCGGCAGCCTTGCGATGGGTCTGTGCTCTCTGCGATGCCGGAATGCATCCGAGCAGTAGCTGTTGACAGCTGCATTCCAAGGCCGCGACTCTTCGCTCCCCCCTACAGGTACCACCTGCAGTGCGACGAACGCATGAGGATGCCCCGACCCAAAGTCCATAACGTCCTTAACTTAAATGCCCTTATTGCCAAACTTCTGGGAAGGCCGAGGAGCAGTGTTGTCGGCTTCCCTCCGACGCTGCCGTGCCAGCTGCTTCCACTGGCGCCGCAGCTGCTTCTCCAAACCATCCAAGTGGGCCTAATCAAAGCTACACTACGGCTGATGATATAAATCCGGGTATACGTTATGGACCAGGGAATTATGGTAGATTCCTTATCAGTGGGTAATGCAGGATTCGGTTCGGGGGCCGAACTCTACCACGGCGTTCTGCGCAGTTCAGGTCCGCCTCGTCCACGACATCA